AGCTGTAGCTGGCCTCCCTTGACTTTCGGCGCGAGCAGATCCGGCCACAGATGAATCCAGATTTCCTTCTTTTAAGCGCGGATCCAGCGCATCGCTCTCAGGATATTGTGGTTTGGTAGCCGAAGAAGACGAATTCGATGGATCGAATCCCGCCAGTATGCCCTCGTAAGCAGGAGCCCGGTTGTATACGAACCACTCGAGACCATAGACCTTTGCTGTGATGCGACAAGGAAGAGAATCCGCATTCTTCGGTCCGCCTTGTTCCCCGCTGTCCGCTTTCCTGCTATCGGCATCGCCCGTGACCCCGGTGACACCGGTGTCACGTTCTCTTTTCGCTGCTCCATCATCGCATTCCAGGCCCGCCACGTCCGTCCGTCTCACGGTACGTTTCCAGTAGTGCCATGTGATAAACCCTCCGTGTACAAAGATAGTCTCGTTCACGCCGTGGTATCGGATGCCTTTGAAGAAAATCCTCCCGCCCAAGGGTGAGATCTGCAGGGCTCGAATATCGACATAGGCGCGGTAATAATGCCAGGTATATGCGCGGATTCCGTAGGATACGAGGGTTGCAAACAGTCGATTGAAGTAGAGCAGGAAGAAGAGCACGCTTGGCGAAGTGATTAGTAGCCCGTTCTCCGCGATCGCACGTGTCGAACACTCACAGAATACAGGAGACAATAAGTTCCAGGAGGAAGAACCTATGTGTTTATCATTAGTTAAGCAGAAAGTCTGCTGCATCGATGATACTAACCAATTAAAGCTTGGATCTGGGGTCAGGGATAAAGAAGTCAGGCTTGTGCCGGCCATATTCGCAGTCACCAAAAACGTTCACCACCAGCGGACATGGTGACGCCGCAAAACAGGCAATGCGATGCGCCCGCGGCAAAGTCCAAGCAGGGACAATAAGGATTCAAGCTAGACGTCCATGGACAGAGAAACACTGGAAAGACTGCCCTTGAGTGCGGGGAGGTTTAGCGACTGCAACTCCTGGTACGGAGTAGGATAATCAATAAACTGACATTCATCAAGGTAGTTGAACTGAATGTACTTCTTGTGAACGGAGTAGTAATCGAAGTGTACGTAGGGGGCAGGAGGGAGCTTGGCCCGAAGTGGGCTAGACGGGACTAAGCCTGTTAGTCTAGGCGGTGTCTAGGCGGTGTCTAGGCGGTGTCTACCAAGACGGGGGGGAAAAGAGGAGCTCCCGAGTCAGTGAGGAGGAAGAGGAGCAATGACGGACGGGACGGGGAACCAGTGATGAATAAGGAATGCCCCCATCGTCTCCAGGCTGCGCAACTTCTCTCTCACCGCACAACAACACGCACACGACACTCCTGGCTGCTAGCCATCAAGCATGCGAGGGGCGCTTGTTTGACACCGACAAGGAATCGCTGGAAGATTTCCGATAACTGTTTTATCTCTCACCCCGTTGACCGGATCATGCCCAGTTCGAAACATCATTGGGATTAACTTGCGGAATGCTTTGGCGGTGGTCGCATACATAGGCAGGCGTACGCGGACAATCAACCGCGACATTCGTTGACGATGAGCATCACCACTTCCTCCTTCGGTGGGACAGGCTCGAGTCTAGCTCGAGCTGTAGTGATAGTCGCCGGTGTATCCTCGCTGGTCGCTTCTCTGCTCTCTCTCCTGTACGAAGACTCCTCGTCCTCCAGCCCCTCCCCCCTTCCCTTTTAACCTCCAGGCAGACAGATGTCATCATCATGGTTCATATGCTAATCGCTTCACCCTGTACAGGTCCATATGGCTCCAAACGTACGATATCCTATTCGCTCGTATATCTAGATCACGCGCTGATCGGTTGTTAGCAAAAATTATCGAAAACCATTACTCCAGCGTTATGTTGTCCGCATATTGTTGATGTGTGTACCCACTTTCGCCTCAGATTCGAGTGGAACTGATTGATAGCTCAGGGTCCCCATATACGCGGTCTCATCATGGGCCAGCATCATATCCTTACAAGCAGCAATGTGGCTGGATCCGATCCGTGATGTTTATGAGGTAGATCTCTGTGTTCTGGCGATTCCCATCGTCACGGGCTAACAGCATACTCTCCAGGCATTTACCATCTACACATTCTTCCAGCTGCTTATCAATTTCCTCGGCGGCGAACGGTCGTTGATCATCATGACCCATGGACGACCTCCTGTTCAACATGCCTGGCCTCTCAACCACATACTACCCAAAGTCGACATTTCTGACCCTCAGACCTTTCTGACCGTCAAACGCGGCATCCTTCAGTATACGTGGCTCAAACCCATTCTGGCCATTATATCTATTGTGATGAAAGCGACCGATACCTATCAGGAGGGCTACCTAGGCCTGACCTCCGGGTATCTGTGGACAGGTATTGTGTACAACGTTAGCGTTACCGTCAGTCTCTATTCTCTAGCCATGTTCTGGGTCTGCTTGCATAACGATCTAGCTCCATTTCGTCCGGTACCTAAGTTCTTGTGTGTCAAGCTTATTATTTTCGCATCTTACTGGCAAGGCTTCTTCTTGTCGATCCTGCAATGGCTGGGAGCCTTATCGAACGGGGTTGCCGGCTACACACCGGACAACCTTGCGGCTGCCATTCAGGACAGCCTGATCTGCTTTGAGATGCCCTTCTTCGCTCTCACGCATTGGTACGCTTTCTCCTGGCATGATTATGCTGATTCGACGATCTCCGCCGCCCGGATGCCCGTCAAATACGCGCTTCGTGACGCCTTCGGTGTCCGTGATCTTATTGAGGATACAAAGATGACGATACGTGGTGACAATTACGAGTACCGTCTCTTCGATTCGGGGGACCACATTATCGCACATGCAGAATCTGACTCGCGTGTCCGGCGTGTGATGCATGGTCTAAGATATGAACGTGGTGGTAAAGCCAAGTACTGGATCCCGACCCCTGGGGAGATCAACAGCCGGACACCGTTGTTGGCCGGGTCGGAAGGCAGCAGCCGAGACCGACGCAGTAGCACGCTGAGTCGCATGCATTCACACAACGAGATGGAGGAGACAACTCTGGATGAAGATGACGAGAGGCTGTTCGACAACGCTCGAGCGCTGGAATTTGGGGATTGGAACGTAGGTCACTTCATCCCCTAAACGAGGAGATGTGGTCAGCTGACTGGAGCAGTACCCCGTGATCACCGCGAACGAGGTGCCAGCAGAGCAGCGCCTCGCACGTCAGCGAGCCTCACCACAGCGACAGACATCAGGGGTCGTCAAGAAATCCCGCAAGCAGAAAAAGCCGCGCCCTTCTAGTGTCGATAACAACCATCGTAGCGCAGGAGCCTCTCGCAGCCCGCGTGCAAGCTACGCTGAGCAGAGAGCCAACTCCGCAGCCTCCTACGCCTCTCACCCAAGCCAAATCGTGGATCTTGTTGTCGAAGATCAGAAGGCTGAGGAAGAGGAACGGCAGCTGGCGCAGAGGGCATTTGGCTCCACGACGGTCGAACCCGAACACCGGCACTTCCAGTATGTATCTTCTGATTTAGCAAAGGGTATATGGCACTAACAACCGATTGTAGGAGACCAACGGGCGAACCGGTAGATGAACGGCATGGCGATGACTTCCACGCATTAATTCACCCCGAGGCAAATGATGAGGAAGAGGAATCCAGGAGACAGGGCTGGGCCTACGGGGACCTGGAAGAAGACAATGTTTGGGGCCAGTAGGTAGCGAAGAGCGAGCTTTAGGACCAATAAACTTGCATGTGTGGTGATTGCGCCTGGAAATAGTTTCGAGATCATTTTATTTTTGTGATGTGGAGGAAACCTGTACTGTATAAAGAAAGGAAGGGCTTGTACGATGATTGAAGAGGAGGCTAGTGTACCCGAGCCATGTGCTTTTTTTCTTAATTAACCCACCCTCTTTTTTTCTGTCAGGGGCATTTGCGTAACGAGCCCAGAGCAAGTGATGATGTGACGGGGGTTTCCTGTCACTCGGGCTGATGGTTGGTTCCCCCAGCAAATGACGGCAAGCCATTACGCGCCCACCACGCTATCTCCAGGATTGATAGGAGGACTGACATGGTCATCAATGATCATCAATGATGGCTGATCGACAGCCCGACATGCTGGCGAGGAGGGGGGAGAGTGGAAGAAGAGGGACTTTTGCTTCCCTGCTATTGGTGTGCCTCATTTGATTAGGGCAATAGGAATGGCACCACGACCGTCACATCCTCTGCCTCATCCTGCCCCCTCATTAGTCCAGAGGAAATGGCTGATGCTCGAGCTTCTATCTGAAGCAATCTCTCGTAGTTTGTAGTTAGTCTCTTGGTGTATGTGTCTGGTCTCGGGGAGGAAGTTAAATCACCAGGTCTTTATCTTGCTGGTTCTTTGTCTGTTTGTCTGTCTGCCAGTCTGCCCTTTCCTTCTCCCCTACTCTTTCTCTCTCTCTCTCTCTCTCTCCCTGGAGGCCTGAGATTCCTTTCCTTTCCTCCGCTCTGTGGTAGCTGGTGGCTGTCACCTTTATTTCTCTTGCTTTCATTCTTATTTTCAGATTCGTCAGCAGGCTTGTCTGACATCTCGTGTTTCTATTTCACTCTGCTTGGTCCCCTCCCCGCCTTTCCTCTTCCCCACTGTCTGTTCGCCGGATCCACTGGATGATGGATCAACACATTTGATGCGCTGGCAGCCATGAAGCAGGCAATTGAACAAGCAGGATCTATGTTCACTGGCTGGATATCCTCCTGCTCTTTCTGTGTGCACTCCGGGGATGACCAGGAGAATTACCACCATCACCAACAAGCCATGCAGCGCAAAGGTAATGTCCATCCATCGGTCTAGCCTGGAGCATATACATTCCAAACACAAAAACACACAGCCCTAAGTCGGCTACTTTACAACCTTACAACGCAACCCAACCCACTCAGCCCAGCTTAACACAACCCAGGACGGAGTAACTGACTGAGATTCCTCCTCTTCCCCCTACAGGTGCCGAACGGGAGATGAAGATATGCCACACCCAGCAACCGCGTCTCATTCCCCCGATGAAGCCTTTCGTCTACGATGAAGCTCCCACCCCGCCACGCCCTCAACCCCGGACCCCATCCTTCCCCTCATGGATGCTCGAAAGCAAGAACCGGGCCAGCATCTCTCTGAAGAGAAAATCGACCGCCGCACCGCCCATCCGCATCAGCGCTCCGTCCGACTTCCGACGAGTGTCGACTTTTCTGCCTGATGCTGATATTGCAGCCGCAGACGGCGGATTATACACTCCGCTGGAGCTGAGCTTCAAGGTCCCGGGCCGCCAGCTTCCAACGCTGCCTCATTTCGATGACTTTCCCCTCGAGACCGATCGTCGTTCCCCGACCATCATCACCCGGCCTCCGCGAGCCGTAGCCCTAGCCGGCGAGAAAGCTCGTCTGCCTCTGTCTCAGCCTCAGCCGCGAACCCAGCATAGACCGTCTTCCTCGTTCCAGCTGCCCCGCAAGCCTGTGGGGTCTGGTTCACGTCGTTCGTCCCTCGCAGCGCACGAATATCTCGGTTTGGGGGAGAGACAGGCCACCACCGCCATCACCAGCAACAGCAGAAGCAGTCCCTTCATCCCTCATTTCTCGAGCCGTGATTCTTCTGCTATTGCTATCGTGCCAGGCACAAACACAGACGAGCAAAGTCCACGCCGTCAGTCCAACGATGCAGGAGCATCCAAGCCCCCCAGAACACCACCCCACCCCAACAACCTGCAGGACAGACCCTTACCATGCATCCCCACCACCGAGGAGGAAGATGAAGAAGAAAAAGAAGAAGGAGAAAATTCCCCGTCATCGCGAAGCACAACCTCCCACAGCCATCCTCCCAGAACCCCCTCCGACGACCGCGAGCGAACCCCCTCCCGCTCCGGCCGCGTCACGCAATGGCTCTTCCACGCCAGCAACAGCAGCAGTCCAACCACCAAAAACCACTCCCCAGCCCCATCCCCTCCCACTTGGCTGAACAAGGAAAACCAGTCCCAAAAAGGTGGTAACAGCCCCTTCCGTATTCGCTCGCGCACCCTCAGCGGATCGACGCTCGCTTCCTCGATCACCAATCTAACCGGAGGAGGCTTCAAGAGCAGCACCGCCACTTCTTCTTGCCCGGCTCCTCCTGCTGCATTTGCCGCGAAGGGAATCCCGAACAAAGAGCTAGGCAGTCCATTCACCCCGCGCCTGCCAGAAGACCGCAGCATGTATCCCACCATCTTCGAGAGCGAATACCTTCACCAGCAGCAGCGGCAGTCTCACTACTCCCACGCCCACCAGGACCAACCCCAACACCAAGAAGGGGAGTACGAAGACCTGCGCCAATCCCAGTACTACGAGAACTACCGCCACTCGGCCGTTGGCCTTGCTTTCTGAACGTTTCAACATTCCCTAATCAAGACGCCAACACTCTCAACCCTAATCGTCAACCCTCAAGATACATAACAGACCCCCCTCCCCCCCTGAACGGCCTCCTCACCCGGGCCATCTCCCGCAAATCCCGTCCAGCATCATGTCGCTCATTATACCCCTACCGAAACCCCAGCCAACCCAAATCTCGTTTGATACCAATGCCCTTATGCCCATGCCAATGCCAACGCCAATGTCAATACCTTAATGCTCTGATTATATGCTGCCCCCCCCCCCGCTTCTCCATTTCGCTTCTTCTCGGATCACTGATGTCGGTTCCCACGCTTTATTTCTCAAGCATGAAGCATACAACCCATTCATTTTCTCCCAGATAAGACAGGCAGGCTGCTGATTCTCGATACCCTCCCCCCTCCTACCTTCACCGTTCCCCATCACTCTCGCTTACTCATAATGTCTGTTCTCCGTGGTTTCTCTCGTTTGATATTCAAGGATGATAGTGGGATTATCTACAGTGGGATAGATGGAACATAATTGACCTACCATACGCTCGTTTAGTTTCTGGGCTGTTGCACTTCTTCGGACTTTTACAGTAGAGGGTAGTGATGTTTTGCATGCAATAAGGATCTATACAATGGGAATCTTCAGCACCTACGAATCATGCGGAGAATGTAGACTAAGCTGAACAACATAAATACTTCACTGCCGCAACACGAAACATCTGGATATCTTCAGGTATATAACAATCCAAATCGAATCCATCAAACGCAAACTGTCCAAGGGCAGCATGTCAATCCTTGCATACACCTTCGTTTCACTTGGTATCATGTCTGAAAAGGGGGGAAATAACAGTGTCAATGCAAGAAAAAAAAGAATTTAGCAAAATCCACCAGCCGCGTATTTGTTTCCCGTATGATATCTCACTCCAAGGTCCCCTATGGGTATCCCTCAACCCTTGGCTTAACTCAACAAGATCAAGTGAAAAAAAAAATAAAAGAAGACAAACATCTGGCGAAGAAATAAATGACAGAGAGGAGAATATCACCGGGAGGACAGACCCAACAAGACCAGGAGTAGGTGACGCATATCAACACAACAATCCTGTATTCTTTGAATGTCTTGCCTCCTTTTCCTGTTTTATATCTTTTTTTCCTGTGACGTCTTGATTGCATGCATGCACTCTGTGGTATCAAGAAGAATCCGAAACACAAATCGCTGACAACAAATCTCAAAAATAATATCAAAAGAAAAACACTAGAAAGTCTCTTGGGGTATACTGCTGCAAATTGACATTGATTTTAACGCGGTGGCCCGATTGGGGCCGGGTATCCAGAAGTAGAATTGGAAGTACTAGGACGACCACTGTCAAAAGAGGCGCGCGGGTCATGCTTGGGTGTCATGTCCCCTGGCGCGGTACCGAATGGAAATTTCGTGTCAAAGCGCGCGGGCCAGCCATTGCTGCTGCTGTGGCTGTGAGAGCTTCCGAGAACCGGCAGGTCGTCCTCGGCGAGGTTCACGCCAGAATCGTTCCATGGGTTGCGATAGCCACTGTCGCGGGACTCCATCGAAACCAAGGATGCCTTCGACGCATTGCTGGACGCATGCTTGAAGAAAGACCCTGGCGAAGCCGAGTGGTTCTTGCGTCCAATGAACGAGGAGAAGGAAGAGATACTACCAGGCTTGCGCAGTCGCTCAAAAATGGACCCGCGCTCGCTGGTTTCATCGGAGAAGTTGGGTCGGGTAGGAGAGTCGGTGACGAGGGGAGCAGGAGCATGCTGCAACAATTTGGAGTCGAAGAAAGGCAGGGACTCTTCGAACGAGTCAGACTTCGGTCGCGGGATGGCGCCCTTGACTGTCGTCGCGTCGAGTCCGTGAGCCACAAGGCGCGAGATCAAGAAATCGATCGCATCCTTCAGTCCGCCGGCATTATTGCGAGTGTATCCGAGCACCACGCGATCTTCAGGCCCGAAAGTGGGAGAAGAGGACCCCGAGGCACTGTCAGATGTCGGAAGGTCCGAAGTTGTATCCACGGTGGTATCAACTTCGTATTGTTCCTTCAACTTTGCGCAGACATCTTCACGGAAGTCAGGGGACTTGAAGAAATCGCGCAATTCTGCGGAGCTTTGGAAGAGGAGTTCGTGACTCTCAGGGACCATTCCCTATAACAGTAATTAGAACTGCAACAACGGAAAAGATAGATAGTACATACCAATAAGGCGTCAACCGCCTGCGGAACCTGGTATTCCGGTCCAGAGATGTTCACGACGTCACTAGCAAGCTCGGTGCTAGGGAACTCAATCTTGCAGTTCCACTTCTTCTCAAGCTCGTCGATCTCAGAGATGCGGGCGAGCAATTCACGGTGATACAGCCTGTTGATGACCACTCGTTCCGAGACATACTCGGCATCCTGTCCACACGTCAGATAAGGGTCACCGGTGGTCAGACAGAATGTAAACTTACGACTTTCTCGACCATGTCCATGATCTCCTGCTTCACCAAGTCGAGACTCTGGGCATTGCGTGCAGGAGTCCGGCAGATGACGTTATCAACCTTGATATCATCGTCCTCTTTGCCCATTCCGCCGCGGTCCATGGCGTTCGAGAATTTGACGAAAACCGAGTATTTCTTCATAATGCGCTGGATATGCTGACCACCGATTCCGATGATCCGCTTGTGATATTGATCGGGCACATGGAAGGAGATCGAAGCGGGCATCTCCTGCTCAACAAGATCTAGGCCGTTCTTGGTGGATTCGTACTGGTTGCCGCACACGTCGATGTAGAAGTTGTACTCGTTGAAACCATCGAAAATGATTTGCACATTGCCTAGAAGGGTCAGCCTTTTCGCTCATGCGGCCAGTCACAATCAATGTACGCACTCTGTCCCATGATCTTGTTGATCTTGCCATTCTTCTTGCCACTAACAAACTCCTTGTGCTCATTCGCAAGTTCGATCTTGACGCGCATCTGGTACTGGCTCCGCTGGACAAATGGGATTTGGTTGATCACCATCATCGCTGCCTTGACAGCATCATCTGATCCATTGATGGTGAATGTCAAGTTGTCAAAGCTGACCTCGGCACCCGAATTGCTGCAGATGTCGGACAGCATTGTACGAACGTCGGCGGCGGGTGGGGCGCGTAATCCACCTTGGGACGGGTCGGGCATGATAATCCACCACGAGGCGCTGTAAAACTGGCCGGCCTATCATGATCTGTCAGTGACACCTGATGGAAAGTCTTTCCGCCCGAGCAATGACACCACCTACCAAAGCCATGATCTCGCGAACTGTGCGCTCGACGTGCAAAACCTCTGTGCCCTGAATGCGAACCACACCCCGCTGGATTCCCAGCTGGGGAAAGTGGACGTAAGATCCGTTCATCTCCATCACCTTCCGGACTTTGTCGAGGCGATCAAGCAAGATGTTGTCGATTTTGTTCGAGTTGACGATGACATCCTTCACATAGATCTTGACCCCCATTACCAGCTCCCGCAACTTCTGCTTGGCGCGAGCAATCTGCTCTTGAGTGTCACCCGTGATGTAAACCTCGTCCTCACTGCGACGGTGGGCACCGGGGGGCGTGTATCCAAAAATGCGCGGGAATGGCGGGGGGAAGTAGATGGCCGTTCCGGTTGCCGCCTCGATCAACTTGATGTTCTTGCGAGTCCGACCGCAAACCAAAGTGTGCATGGTGAGCTCCAGCTTCATGGCATCCACATGACGTTTGAGCTAAGCATCGTTAGTATCCCGACCGTCTCCTTCGTTCATAACAAGCACCTACAATTTGATCAATCATGATCAACACGCGAGTCTTGGCATGCTCCGCGCTCTCCATGTCACCGTAGATGGACACCCGGAACCGCTGGTCCAGCCCATTATCCGACGCGTAGCCATAAGAGGAGATCACAGCACTATCATTGTCGCGAATCTTGGGGTTGAGGAGGAAAATATCGGTGCCAGTGTATGCAGCCAGGGTGTCGAGATGCTCCAGAACACTGGAACGGATGTTCTTGGTCGATCCGTCAATAATAAGATGGACGTCAACATCCACGGTCGCACAACGCTATTAGACCGGAATCATCAGTATTAAGCAAGCAAGTAAAAGTCGCCGTGGCGAAACAGGACCATTATTGGGGCCGTACCAACAAAATTGGAGTCTCGTTCAGGACCCTTGCCCGCATCTTGCGCACAGTCTCTCCATCGCCGGTGATACAGACATTCGTCGCCAATCCTTGGGGTCGTCGTTGTAGTGAGGGGACCGTTTTGGGCTCGGACGACGTGACAACAGCCTCTACTCGACCGTTACTGCTCTCGGTGATCTGGCGACATAACCTCCGCAGGGCCTCGACATTGCTGGCATGGACGGGAAGCTGGTGGACGGGGGTTCCGTCCGGGGTGCCCTCGGGGAAGGACCAGCGCTGAAGAGCACCAGGGCTCGCGTGCAGGACATCGTCGGCATCGGGACCGGCCAAGGTGGAGGAAAATGGAACATTGAAGGAGAGGTTGACGGTAGGGTCAATGCCGGTGGGCGGAGTCATCGGAGGTGCGCCGTGCGGTCGACGAAGGGAGTGGGAGCTCATATCGGTGTGCGGTCGAGACATGCCGAAAGTGGGTGTCATTCGCTCCCAGCCATGACGGGCCTGACCCGTAAAATTGGAGATCTTGTGCATGACAAGGGCAGGTTGAGTCTCTGGCCCCTTGAACGAGTCGAGGGGAGAGGAGGGGGAGGGTCGAGCAGCGGAGGGAGGAAATGGCGAATGAACCGGAGGAGGGACAAGAAGGAAAAGAGAAAGCTAATGCAGCAGTAGGGGGAACCAAAGAGAGAGAATAGGACGATGAGGAGAAAGAAAAAAAAGTCGAGGCGGACAGACAAGGGTTTGGTTTGTCGCCAGTCTCGACAGGGATATGTTGTGTTTTTTGGGGGGGGGATGGAGGGGGGAGGGAGGTGAGCGCACAAGGAGAGGAGGAAAAAGGAAGAGGTGGTGGTGGTGTTAAGGTAGAATGGGTCGGGGTGGAGGGGAGGGAGGGAGTGGTTAGTTTAGTGGGAGGGAGTGTAAGTGTGGGAGAGACAGAGAGGGACAGAGAGAGGGAGTGAGGGAGGGAGGGAGGAGACTGAGGGAGTTCGAATGACAACTTAAGACGAAGAAGGGCGCCTTTTTGGGTAATCCGGAATGGGGTGGAAAAAGGCAATCAACCACCTTGACGGGCCAAAACGGGTATCGAAGATGATTGAACCTATAGTGCGTGGGCTGCGGACAACACCAAAAATAAAATAAAATAGAATAAAACAAGCAATGTTCGAGAAGATAGAATGTCCAAAATGAGAACGATAAGACGGCGAGGAGGAATAGCAGAATAATTCGAGAAGGGGAAAGAAAGGGAAAATGAAGCAGAGCAAAGCAGTCCAAAGCAGACTGTCTGGGCTGTCAATCAATCAACAAAAAATGGGCGTTGGGTTTTTTTTGGCCGCGAGAACTTGACAATTGATTCAAGTTTAGTCAGTCGATCAGAGCAGACAGGGAGAAGAATGAATCAGAAGAACAAAGCGGGGGTGGGAAGAGAGGGAGGAATTCTTCTGGCCGAATTCAGGAAGAAAGGCTTGAGGAGTCCAGCAAGCAAGCAATCAAGCAAGCAAGCAGCAACAGCAACAGCAAGCAGAGTTGGATGAATCCATCACAAGAGTAAAAAAGAACACAGCCATGGATGGGATGGCATGGATGGATGGATGTATGGATTGGATTGGATGGAGCAATCTTCTTCTGGCCGAGGTGTCTTCCTCAGGCACCCAACTGACCCGTTCACAGCCAACTCAATCAATCAATCAATCAACCAGTCAATCAGTCGACTAATCAGTCATCATTGATCCTGATCAATCAATCGAATTATCAATCCATCAAGGAGAATTTATTATCGGAAGCTACCTCGTGCTTGATTTCCAGAATTGACCATACTGTGTGCTATAAATGTCCTGATCCTTCTCCTTCGAACCGCACCCCCAATAACTACTACTAATCTTCATCCCTCCTCCCCTTCTTCTTCATCAGGCGGGACACGGCGGGTACTCAGCCCAGTGTCTAGGCCCAATGCTGGCATTGTCTAGCCAAAGTACGATCGTGACCAGAAGCAGACTAACCCTCACTAGAGTCGATACTAATAAGTCCTGCCTACTACCAGAATAGTAGTCATCATCGTCCTGACTAGTCCAACTAGGGATCAGTCCACCCACCCAGTGCCCCCTTCTTGTCCTCCTAAAATCTACACTATCCCTGATGAATCCGGAGTACAGTTACAATAGCAGGGGTTATACTCGAGTCGTACTTCGGAACAGAGAGAAACGAAGCCTGACTCACTCACTCCCTGCCAGGCCATTTCTGACAGAAATCCACAACATTCCATCCCGTCGTTCTCCATACTGGGGCAAAAACGGGCTGGAAGGAACCCCAATAACAATGAAAAGAAACGCTGAACAGTGCCCAGCAATTTAAAAGGAAACTCAATTCTGCCCAAAGACATTCCCACTTCTGTTTCTTCGAGGGGTCAGGTCAGGTCAAATAACACTCTTCCTCATGTGAAGAAGAGAAGGATGGGCGTTGTGATCATCCACCGCTGCATTGAATTCCCCGTGCACGGTCCACCCACCTTGCCCCTTTGGGCGCTGCAGGCGACTTAGAGACTGCACTCTAAGAAGTCACGTGTAGCCATGGTTAAGGCCCCGGGATTCTTACTAGTCTATGGGTGTCAACATTCAACTGCAGTCCGAAAACTGGACTGAAGTACGGAAATGCGGAGAAAACGGAGGATGTGAAGAAAGCATGTGCAACACACACACAGACTAACTTGCGAGCCGATACTCCAGGAGAAGATAATAGCCCCCGCCCTCCCCCCCCCCCCCCGGCCGGAGGTATCCCAGACCCGGTTGTGAACTGGCGATCCAAGCTCGGAAGTGCTGGGAAAGGGCAAGGGCAGATCACTTGAGTCCGGTCTAGCCTGGTGGTGGCCTACCTACCTCTATAATCAAATCAAGCTCTTCGCCGGATTTTCCTTGATAGCGAGCAAGCAAGCATGAGGGGACCTTTTCTCCCCCAACAACACAAGACCAGACAGGATCGACTCTTACTAGGCTGAACCTCGAATCCTATTGGGGCTGAACAATCACACAACTACTCAAGTAATAATATGTGTGTGTACACTGTACACCAGGAGACAGAGTCGCGTTGTTGAATTTGCCACGCGTCTGAATCGACCCATTCATTTGCGCCCCTTCTGCCACTGCTAATCACTACTGCTACACTCAACCCAGACACAGCAGTACATACATACATACATACATACCAGTCTGGATCACGAACTCTCCCCGGTAACGGGCAGGAATTTGCGATCTACCAGACAACTACATACTACACCCAGAAGATGTGCCGTACTTGAAGGGGCGAATAACCCTCCCTCAAGGCCATCAACTCAAGCTTACTAATGCATGCCAATACTCCAAACAGCAGCCACTTAGCGGGAAAGGGCTGTACTCAGTAAACCGGATTGGAGGAAAGAGAGAGAAAGAGAGGGGAGGGGAGTGAAACACCACCGACCTTGCGTCACCGTGTATCATGACTTGGTTTCCGCCCGGCGAATCCAGGGTGAGGAAGAAACAGTCAAGAGTGTCAGACACACTTTCCCCCCGTCCTCTTCTAGTCTAGTTCTAGTTTCCTCGGCCGTTTTCTTTGTGTCTATCACGATGATGATCATCAAGCAGCTTGTCCCGTCTTAAGTTGAATCCTCATGGGGTTTGAAGAGAAACGCAATGGGGCTCAACGGGAACCCACGGGATAATCCTAACATCGAACAATAACTTTTAAGGCATCACAGGGAAAGGCATTTGGCATTTGGTTTCGTTTCATCCAAGTCACACATGCTTAGTCACAATGACCAGCTGGTTTCTTTTTACAGTACTCAGTAAATATCGCACAAACCTGAAAAGTAAAAAAAGCTCCCCATAGTCGAGCCCATCTCGTCCGATTCGTGGCAACTTCCCCGAGGGTTTTGTTCAAGAAACTGAACCCCAGACTTTGCCCGGGCCCTCTTATCCATGGCACCAGGAAGGATGACCCCTCGACTCAACTTATACTTGGAAGATCATCGAATGACTACTTTCCTCCCAGGTTCGTACGCAAATGAATAATATAGTGTAGTGGTTACTTCCAATAATGGCAAAATTACTGTGAACTACCCGATCTCATCGATCTCGACGCCCGAATCAGCAACGACGTCATTCATCAACCGCCTCATATCGCTCAACCCACTGCGGTGGGGGTCCGTATTTCAATTCGCCTTCGGTACCTCTGTATCATTGCCATATGTACGAGCACTCGTATCTATCAACCCAACTTCTCTCATTTTCCAGGAAAAGGCTAGAAGAAGAGATACCCCTGCAAGCTCAAATGTGATAGGTCGTTCTGACAGGAGTAGGAAAATACCTTACGGAAGCCTCCCAGCCTGAGAACATATATCGTATACGATAATAGGTAGCTCAAACACCTGCTCCGTATAATCCAACTTATTTGTCCAAGCCGTCTTCATTGCTCTATAGACTCTGGGCGTTATCTGGCGAAGGAGAACACCATGCGAACCACGCAAGCTTGGTTTATCAACGGCTCTATTCTGTAGATATAAATCGGAGTAGAGGGAATCTAGATAGGGATGGTGTGGGAGAGATAGAGGTGCCAATTTCTTTTCTTGACGGTGCACATCGGGATACATCTAGTGTTGTATGATAGGTGAAGAACCACGAGGAACCATGATATCGAATGATATCATTGAAGAAGTTCTATGAGTGAGACAATTCATGCGAGCGATGAATTATCATGGACGTGAGCGATGCGAGCAAGGAACTATAGCGGCAGCGGCGGAGGCGGTATCCATGTTGCCAGCAGAGCGGCAGAAAGCAAACTACCAATCAGCATAGCTGCTTACTCGGTGTACTACAGCACCAGAAGAACGTCCATCGAAGTTTAGATTGAGGTTGAATACCTTTTATCTCTCTACTACCCTCCAGGAATGATTCTCGAAATAGTTTCACATATACGTCATCTCCATGCATAAGTAGCATGAATCCCAGTCATCTTGCTTGCTTGCTTTTGTAAGTACAATAAAATGCCCCCAACGGAGACGTAAACTGAAATTCGAAAATATATGGCGTGTTCATCTGAAAACATCAGACGAAAAGAGAAAAGATAATTAGTACCGCGGAGGAGGAACTCGGTGAACTACATCCCCTCGCGGTGCACCTTCTAATACGACCCGCTCCGGATTCGCCGCAACACTTCCCTCATAATAAGGAACGGGCTCCTCGCGCGCCAGAGGCCGCGTCGCAACATACATAGGCCGTTCCACGTACTCGCGCGGCTGCCGGATCCCGTCGTCCAGATACACACTCACGTCGCGCGCTCCGCCGGGGCGAACACTTTCCACTCGTTGGATGACCTCGCGTGGCTCCTCATACCGTCCTGCTGGGGGACGCACGCTCGGCATCCGTACGATTCGCTCGCGGGGCAGTTCAGCCTCTTCGAGGTAATGTGGAGGTCGGCGGGTGGCGTATTCGGTTACTTGGACGCTGGCGCTACGTGGTGGATAGACATTTCGGTCATCCGGGCCGGCGGCAACGGTCGCGGGAGTGGCG